GTTTGGTTGCTGCCGGCCTCCCCTCCCCCTTCCTCCCTGATGCCTGCCACCCTGCTCCTGGTTGCCCCCACATAAGGCCTCAGAAGACCACTGAAGGTCTGAAAACCCCAGTGCTGTCCAGATACCGTTAGCAGTTGGGACATCATAACTCCTTAAGTTGACTTCTTCGGAGTCAAGGATTTTCACCTTGGGAAGTTTCCATTATTCATCCTTTAAAATGTCAATCCCTTGCGCTCATAAGCCACCAGGTCTGAGTTTGCCTCCCGCGGCTCCTACCTACCCACCCAGCCCTCCAGAGCACTTCCGCTCTCCTGGCTCGTGCTGGCTGTTTAACACCTGATGCCAGCTGCCCTGTCCCACTCAGGTCAAAGCCCGGGGATCCCCTGCTCAAATTCAACCCTCGATTCGGGTCACTTTCACAGGGAGGCATGGCACACCCCACGCACCTGACCCCGCCCCGGGAATGTGCGCTGTGCACAGCAGGCTGCGTTCCACACACCCCGTCAGCCAGGTCTCCTCGGTTTGGTTCTTGTGCAACTGATTTTTGGAACCTCAGGGGGCCTGTCCATCTTTGCCCATCACCTTTCATCTTCTGGTCCCAGTGGATGTTCTAGCTGGAGCAGATGCGGGGTACTGATTCTGTCACTCAGCGCATCAGCTCTCCCTAATGACTCTGTGTCATCTGCAAATTTGATAAGCATGCTCTGATGTCTTTATCAAGCCACTGGCTCCACCATTCAGCAAGCCGGGGTAGCAGGCCACCAGGGACCCCCTCCCAGTTGACATGGAGCCATCCACTCATCCACACCCGGGGGCTTCTGGGGCTCCACCAGTTGTAAATCCACCTTCTGGAGCTTTCCCAATCCTGGTGCCGGCAGCAGCAGAACTTCTCCTCTCCCACAGAATCAGCAGCGAGAAAGGAGAGCGCTGCTCGGGCTGGATGGAAGGTGCTTCGTCTCCTGCATCTCCCCGGGTAGCGGCATGGACCACCGCCCCGTTTCTGCACACATGCAAGCCTCCCAAGCTGAGGCCGGCCCAGAGCGCGCCGGGAAGATGCCCCACCTCAGCCTCACGGCGGCCCCATCCTGCTGATCCAGGAGGAGGATGGCCGGGGATGGGGCCGCAGTGCTGCCCAAAGGAACTGGTCTCCGGGTCCCTGGAGACGCAGCACACCCTGGGCGGGGGTGGGGGGGGGGGATGATAAGGCTCGCCTGCACGAGGACCAGGAGCTCTGCCAAGATGTCTTACCCCGGGGCCACAAACTGCGCAGAGACTGTGTCCATCTCTGGCTAAGCCAAGGGCACCCGGCACCTCTCCAGGGCCTGTTCCCCTCAGAGGACAGCCAACTGGTTCCAGTACTAGCACTATCTGGGACTGCAGGAAAGACAGGCGTTTGGTAAGCAGGGCTGTTCCCACGGACAGTGCGGCTCCTGGAAAGAGGGTAGTGTTGTGCTAGGACCGTGAGGTCCTCCGGGGATGGCCCACCAACTGCCCCTTTGTAGTTGCTGAGGCAAAGGCTCAGGCTCAAGAAAGCAAGGTCTGCCCCCGGTGGCTCTCTGGGGCCTTCCCAGCCCCGGGGGATGTGTGGGGAAGTGGCCGCCACCTGCCCCTGGCGGGAACCACGCCAGCCTGGCGGCCCTGCCGCCTCCACACGCGGTCAGTAGAGGGCGCCCTGTCTCCACACTCTCGCTCCAGCCTCGGCTTTGGACTAGATCCGTGTGCACACAAAGACCCCGCTCAAAGAAGGATCTCTTATGCTCGTGGTTTAATATTACATGAGAAAGAAGCGGCAGAACAGAGAGTTACTATCCTACGATAGCGCCTATGTCAAAAGCACACACAAAAATGACTTGCAGGAAACAGAAGCCAAGCTTACCAGCCTGTGCTCACTGGGAAGTCTTTTTTCCTCCTTTTCTATGCTGTCAGTTTCTGCGAGCTGTGACTCTCCTAACAGAAAACGACCCGATGAGTGTCGGGAGTTGGGGGGGGGGCTGCGCATGATGGGGGGTCAGCTGACGCGTTCCTGATAAGACCAGGCCAGAGCCTGGAGCTGGACAGAGGGCTGGCCCCACTCGCTGCCCCTGCCCTCGGGAAGTGCAGGCGAGGCACGGGGGCACCAAGCCCAGCAGGCGCCCAGGGAGCCATCCTGGAAAAGGAAGCCAACCGCTAAGGCAGGGGACGGAGACACGCCAGCGCGGGGCCGACAAGGCCAGCAGGGCACAGGAGCCTCGGATGGGGGTGGGGGGCTCCCGGAGCGGGACGGGGTCATCCTACAGGCCTGCCGCAGACTCCCACGCCCTCCGAAAGCAGCGCCCACAGCTCACTGCCAGAGAGAAAGTTGCAGACTCTCCTCTGCAGAGAGCACAGACCCGAGGCCTTGGGGATAGTGGAGCAAACTCATCGTTCCCTAAATCTCCGATGGAAAATTGGAATAAATACTCAGCATATCAATTTTTTTTAAGATTTATTTGTTTATGCATACAAGATCTGGGGTATAGGCCAGAGGTGTGAGTGGCAAGAGGACTCACCAGAGACAGAGTGGGGAACAGAATAGGCAGACTGACGAAATACAATGCTGAGGGGAGCAGCAGGCGAGACACGAGAGGTCTGCTGTGCCATGTGGGACCCTCACCGGCCGGCCGGGATTGAACCCAGGCTGCAGAGGCTGCGGACAGCTTCACAGTGCGGCGCTCAACTGCTTGCGCCACCGGGGGAGGCCCAGCATATCAATTTTTAAGTCAATGATACTGGGTAGGAAAACCACACAAGACCCCTGAGGGGTCGGGAGGCTCAGGAGGTGTGCCCGCCACCTGCAAACTGGTGCACAGGGAGAGAGGAGCACTTGGGACAGAGAAGGGATTTTACTGGGGAGCACTAATGTAACACTCAATTATCCTCGTGCATACTGGCCGATTTAACTCAGCCAAATTAGAATACATTTTATATTGACTATTTTGACGTTTGTTTTATTTGGCAAGTAAAACAAAACTGATCCAATTTCCTTGCAGTCATTGTAAACCATAAACTGTACAAGAGGTTGTAAAATATATAAGCCTTATAAACACCTTGTTCTGATGTGCCACCTCAGGTCCCGCTCCCCTGAGGCCCGCGTCCTCGGCACTGATGGCAGCTTTGGCCAAGACCACGCTCTCCTTCGCTCACCAGGAAGCTCTGCCTTCTCCATCCTCCAGGAAGTCAAAGCCTGCCCTGAGGCGATTCCCATCTCTAGGCCCTTCCAGACCAAAGGCGCCAATAGGAGCAGCTGTAACTAGTTCAGAGCGAGGCTCTGGGCTAACCCCACACCCAGGTGAGGGGGACCAAAAGTGAAGTGAGAAGTGGCTCTAAAGCTCGGGCCAGGGCCTCCCTGGTGGCGCAAGGGGTTAAGACGCAACCTACGAAGCTGTCTGCAGCCACTGCAGCACGAGTCGATCCCCGGCCAGGGAGCAACCCACATGGTGCAGTGGACCTCCCCTGTCTCCGCGCTGCTCCCCTCAGCAGTGTATTTCAGTCAATCTGCCTGTTCTGTTCCCCACTCTGTCTCTGGTGAATCCTCCCACCTCACCACCCCACGCCTCTGGCCTCTACCCCAGTTCTTGTATGCATAAATAAATAAATCTTAAAAAAAAAATAAAGCTGGGCCTCCCCGGTGGCGCAGCGGTTGAGCGCTGGGTTGCGAAGCTGCCCGCAGCCTCTGCAGCGCCGGTTCGTTCCCCAGCTGCTTTCCGGCCACCGGAGGAGGGTCCCACATGGCGCGCAGACCTCTCCTGCCGCCCGCTGCTCCCCTCAGCAGTGTACTTCGGTCCTTCTGCCTGCTCTGCGCCCCGCTCTGGCTCTGGTGAATTCTCTCACCCTCCCGCGCTTCTGACTGGACCCAGTGCTTGTATAAATAAAATAAATAAATAAATAAATCTTAAAATAAATAAATAAATAAATAAAGCTCAGGCCATTCCAGGACACTGGACTTGAAGGCCTGCTCTCGGCTTGTGGGGCCATCACGAGAAAGGACATGGGATGTCCCAAAGGGCGGCCGGAGCAGCTCAGGAGAGCGGCTCTTCCAAGTGGGTGGAGGCAGGCTTGCCAGGGAAACGCTGGGGCTGGCGGGCTGGGGCCCGGGAGCGGGACCCCACCGGGGCTATTCTGTCCTGTTCCCAACAGATTCTGTTCACCTCCAATCGCCCACGTGGTGGCCTTTAGGCTTGTGCTCATCCCCCTTCTCAATCCCCGACGCCCCGGCCCCGGCCCCTCTTCTTAATCCTTGACTTTTGTAACCCCTGCCTCCAACTTCACCTGTCACTGCTGTCCGTTCCTCACTCCTAGTCACGCGGCAATTCTTGCACCGGTCCGGCTCCATCCTGCCACCTGCATCTCGCGGACAAGGAGAGACAGTACCTACTACGTCCGGGGCCTCAGAAGTAGGTTCTACCTCAGAACCCACCATGGAGCAGCTGGCTGGCTCGCCTGAGTTTCTTTGAGGGAGTAAATACTACTGGTGTTTAGGTGTTTACCGGAACGCATCCTACTGTTCTCTCCCCCAACTACTCATCTCTCAGGGATGCAGCTCTCAGGGAAAAGAAACACCATAAAGGAACACAGTGACTTACAACCCCCTGGGCTTCAGAGCCACCACCACGGCAGAGGAAGAGGCACCTCCCCTGGGCCAGTGCGCCCGCCCCACATCTACACTGCGTACCTGCCCCACGTCTACACAGCATGCCTGCCCATGGGCAGCTCTGTGCTCCCGAGTGCAGAAGCCCAGCTCCAGTGCCTAGTCTAGGCAGAACGTGTACAAAATTGAACACACAGTGGCCTTTCCAGTCTCGAAGGCAAAGATCTGTAACTGGCTGTTTAACGGTCTGTTCTGGAGGTCCGTCACCTCTGCAGTGCTCGGCGACCATCAGCACCGTCTCAGCAGAGCTCAGCCGAGGCGCGCTCAGACGTGACACGGGGACCCTGACCACATGACCGTGACACGCAGGGCACGCGAGCCACCGAGGCCTCACCTGGGAAGGTTGGGGGCCGGGGTGGAGGCAGCTGACGACTGGGAGGGCGTTGTGGGTTGAGATGAGTCGTGGTTTCTCGGCACTCTGCCCATTCGATACCAGATCCCCATGCTGTTCAGTTCCCTTTAGGAGAGAAGAGAAATCTTCGTGGAGCAGTTTAGCACAAAGCATTTACCTGAGCGACAAAGCAAACCAACTCATTTAAAAGAATCATCGCCTCGACAGGCGAACAGGGGATCATTTTGTGCCCAAAGAACATGGGGGACACTACCCCCTTTAGTTACTTGGGAGGAGGGAGGGCCACAGGTCAGAGTCTCACGGAGGGCAACAGTCCCAACCCTCTTCATCCCACTCCCTGGAGCGGCTCTTCCTGCTCCTGCCGACGGTTGCCTTGGTTCTCAGTCTTGACAACTCTTTTTCTTGTGCCACACATGGTAGGTGCTCCCAGGCCATCCACTTAGAGTCCTTTGCATGGCTGGGGGTGGCAGGTGGAGTGGGGGGCTGCAGGCGCGGCAGCCTGGTTCTCAGCTACCAGGCCAAAGCCTCTCACTGCGGGGATGTCGGCCCCATTCTCAGGGTCAGTTGGGAGACATTTCAACCACGAAGCCTGAGGCATGTGAGCCCACGAGCTGTTAGGACTGAGAGCGGACACAACAGGCCAACAGCGGCCACCTCAGGAGTCCTCTACCCACCCGCAGGCCCACGCGCTTCGGCGCTGCGCCCCCGGCCCAAGCATCCATGAGACAGGCGGCGCTCGGGAACCTCTCCAGGGGGCGTCATTCAGCAGCGTGCGACTTAGGGCTTCTCAGCCGCCCGCCCGCAGGGGAACACATCCCTTCGAGAAACAAGAACAGATTTCTCAGGGCGCCACAGGGGCAATTCTGAGCCTGCCGTGTCTCACTAGAAGGCAGGATCCAGGCGGCGGGCCACTCCCCACCCTGGGGTTCCCGCCTCCCCTAGCTGACAACCCCAAGTCCTCACAGAGTAACGGGTGGAACTGCGCTCGCTTTTAAGAAAAAGTGAGTCAGTAGTGAACACTGATGCTTCTTCCTTATTTAAAACATGACACTGGACGGTCTTTCCAAGATGAAATAAAAATATACTTTATTTAGCAATCTTTTCAAAATGATATAAGAGAAACAAGATTCTACTTGTGACTGCTAAGACAAATGATAAAAATCTATTCTTTAGAATTGGCTAAATGGTTAAAAATCGAATCTTTTAACGTAGTATAGACCATAATTAAAAATACACATAGTAACTGAAATGAGACTTTGAAAGTTGTTTATTAAATTTGTGGATTCTACTATTTGTATGCAAATGGTTGCCTCTATGGTACCTGACGTATAGTTTATTTTTCTATTTCCTATTCCCATAGTCCTGTTCACATACTTAGTTTGAGCCATGATGCCCAACAGGGCTTGGAGTGGCAGAAGGGGGTTGCCGGCCTTTCCACAGGACCACGGCCCTGGCAGGCCCCACACTACAGCGCACCAGAGGACAGCGACCTCTTCTCTTGGTTCTGGTTCTGGCTCCCCACATGCTGCAAGCAGCCACCACAGCCCTCAGCTCTCCCGACGGGGTCTCTCTACAAGGACAGGCCCTGACTTTCTGAGTAAACGGGAGCATCCAGGCTCAAATGAACAAGAAGCAAAATAGGGCACAGCCCAGACCCAGAAGGACCCACCACAGTCAACAAGAGAGGGCACCAAGGGTGCCCCCAGGGACCTGCAGGACCAGCCGGACCCTGCAAAGCCTGGGGGAGAGGCCCCCGGCCCAGGGGTGAGAACCTTCTCCCACGCTAACTCCAGAGACCTGGATCTCATTGACTGAGTATGATGAACATCTTCTTCTACCTCTCGGATGCCCTTACCCATCCCCTCCATCGTGCCATCCTCCGTGTTTGGGAGGCAGCCTCCCCCTCATTCTTAGTCTCTGAGTTCCAATGGAGCTGACCTCACTTCCAGCTCAGGCCTGGTCACCCAGAGAGTGACTTTTCCAGGTGGCAGTGACCTGTCAGAGGTGCACAGGACACAGTGAGGTCCACCAAGACTAAGGAAGCAGGATTCTAGAACTTCTGCTTGAATTACAGAGGCAGGCTAGCTCTTTGTCTCTGGGCCTGAACCTGGGTGACAAAAGTGGTGAAGCCAGGACACCCTCACTCTTCCACTAAGAGAGAGCATGTCTAAGAAGGAGGGGTCCACCCAGAGGGATCAGAGCAAGTAGGAGGGGGACCCCAGATGCCAGGGACAGGCTCTCAATGCCTGCTCCCAGCCACACCTGAGGCCAATCCCTCCACGGAGCTCTGCCGTCATTCAGCCAACAAGCTCTTCCTGTGGCTCGGGCAAGCCTGGGCTGGGTTTCCTGTCAAAATCAAAAAAGCCCAAAGCAAAAGCCTGAGGCTCCGTGTTGATTTATGAAGCAGCTCCAGGGCAGCGGGAGCCCAGCCCTGAGGCTCTGGGTGAACAAGACACAGGACCTACAGCTGCTCCGCACGTCAGGGAGGAGGATCATCAGATCAGAAAGCTGCGTGAGGCGACATCGTGCAGTCACGTGGCTTCACCTTCCCTCCTGCCTTGCAGCCCAGCACGGGCTTTCCGGCACCTGCAGGACACAAGCTACATGGCACGTGTCCAAGGAGGCCCTGCCAGCGGCCCTCTCTCCTGCCTGACTCCCCCTCTCGCCCAGTCCGGCCACACCGGCCGCCTGCTGCTCCTGACTGCGCAAGCCCACCCACCAGCTCCTCCTCTGCCCACGGGCTCCGTCGTGAAGTCTGGTTGTGGTTGCTTCTTCTTGAAATGGAGGGCTCTGCTTGGATGTCACCAACCTGACCCGCTGGCTCTGTTTCAGCTTCTTCACCAGCTTATTAACCTCACATTTGCTGCCTGTCTCTCCCTTTTGGAGCGCCAGCTCTCGAGGGCAGGGTCTTGGCCACAACCACTGCATATTCGGGCTCTGTGACCCAGTGGGACAAAGTGGGTGCTCCATACAGTTTAGAGGGGTCAATAAGCAGCACAGAGAGGCGGGGGCTGCCGGTCACAGGGCTGGAAGCTTGGCTTTCAGGCATCTGGAGAGGCCCCAGAGGTGCCTGAGGGTGTGCACCCGGAGGACGGGGAAGGACGGCCGGGAGGAGCGGGCAGCGTGCATGGAGGCGCCATGCTCAGCGGCCCAAGGTGGCCTGGGAGCGTGCCCAGAAGCATGCCCAGGGTGGCCTGAGCACTTGGGGTGGGGAGAAGAGACGAGATCTGTGATGTTCAGACTTACCCAATAAAGGTGTACTGAGGAGGGGCTTGCTTGGTCCGGCCCATGATCCGAATGTCACAAATTGCAGCTTCAGTTGAATCCCGTGGGATAAATTTAATGCACAACCTCTTCTTCCTAAAAGCCACTTCCTCTGAAGGAAAGGACAACAAGAATAGGTATGAGTCCTCCAGAGCAGCCCACACCTCTGCTCTGAGCACCCCATCTCCTGTCACCTCCCACCCAGCAGCAGAAGTGACCAACCCTCCGCGGGGCAGAGTGGATAGGCGGTGCCGGCAGAGTGGGTGTCAGTCACCTGCTCTGCCTTCAGGGCCTGGCCCCGCATTCCAGGTGCCCAGGGCCCCCCAGAAGAAGCAGGAGAAGCAGGCTGGGCACCTGTGGGGTGGCTTCTGGAAGCATGGTCACCAGCAGCTCCCTGCTCACGCCTTCAGGTGCAGACACTTGGACACCCTGAGCATCCATGTGCTGCACTGAATGTTCTTTTTTACTTTTTAAGCACAGATATTTTCAAACCCTAATGCAGAGAAACAGAACAAAACCACACAGGTCCATCATCCACGTCCGTCACTAACAGACAGACCAGTTTCCATTGAGTTTTGCTGGAGGATTTAAATGGACCCCAAGCCCCGTGACAGGCGACCCTCCCAGGGCCCAGAGCACCTGCGGCAAACACTTCTTTGTGACATGACCACGGTGCCGCCACCATTCTTGAATGAGCAATGAGTCCTCAAAGTCCTCCAATGGGACAGCAAGATTCAGGTTTTCCCCGTTAATCTCAAGAAAAGTCATTTAACTGTTAGCTTTTCTGGATCAAGATCCAAATATCGTCTGTGTGCTGGACTGGGTGTGCAGTCTCCTGAGTGAGTCCCTTCTGTCTTGTGACAGCTTGTCCACCCGCTAACAGGGTGCTAACAGGCTGGAGAAACTGCGTCATTTCCCCTGTATTTCCTGTAAACGGCAAAGCAAAACGTCGGATTTGGTCCAGGTGAATGTTTCAGGCCAGACTCTCCACAGGGGGTGCCCGGTGTCTGCGGCATCCAGTTTGAGGGGCCCTGAGGCACGTCCTGAGCCAGAGTCCAGGGGCACCACTCTTGGGCGTGCTGGTGTTATCAGCCTGGGACCCCAGCTATAAAGCTGCCCAGCAGCCGTTCTCTGAATAGTTTACCTCCCGGGAATGGCTCCCTACAGCCAAAGTTCAGCAAAGTTTCAGAACAGGCCTTTCTGTCGTTCCTCTGCGTTTATTAGCTGCACCCACACATGTACATACATGTCTGCCTCAACTACTCATCTCCCCAAGAGTCTCTGTACAGAGGAAAGACGAGGTGTAATTCCTTTCTCTTAACTGCCCAAGTCATAGGGAACGAGTTGGTGCCCCAGCAACCACCAGCGGTGACCAACCAGGTGCTTGTTTCCTTGTGGATTTTAAACATGAGTCTTAATCAAGTGACGCCATTGAATCACCTGAGTTAGACAGCTCTGGGCTGAAATCCCAATTCCGCTGTTTTCTTTCTTTTTTTATTTTTTAAGAAGTGGGGTACAGGCCAGAGACGTGGGGAAGGGGGAGGTAAGAAGATTCACCAGAGAGAGTGGGGAGCAGAACAGGCAAATGTACTGAAAGCAGCAGGCAAGACTGGAGAGGTCTGCCGCGCCATGTAGGTTGCTCCCCGGCCGGCCGGGGATTGAACTCATGCCACAAAGGCTGTGGACAGCCTCACAGCTCTGCGTTGAACCCGCTGCGCCACCAGAGAGGCCCTTCACTGTTTTCTTAACAAGGACTATTCCACTGAGCCTCACTGTCCAGCCAAAGAAGCCCCACTCCCCAGGGACACCAGTGTATGACCCGGGCCAGCATGCTGCTTCCTTAGTCCAGTGCCTGGCACACCGTAGGTACACGGTGAAGAACAGCTGTGAGTGTTGTAGTCGTGGTTGGATGACTTCTGTCAGTGTCTGATGGTGACTTTCAAGATCTTTGAGTAGATAAGCATGTTCATATCAGGAGCAGAACGATGAGGTCTCTAAGTGACCCAGGGATGATGATCCGTGGTGCTATTTTTTGGCATTTTGGAGGACGGTTTTTAAAGAGCCAGGTGGAGACTCAACCTCTGTAGGATCTTATCCCAGGTGAGGAAACCGAGGCCAGATCAGATCCACAACCATGAGTGGTTCTATCCTGGTCCAAGCCCCAAACGTTAACGTGAAAAGGCAGGGGTGTGTTCTGAGGGGGGCAGTGTGTAAGCAGCTGTGTGCCTTCAGAAGCCATCAGCTGACCAGACCAGACTTTGCAAGTGTGAAGGAGGTGAGACCTTCCATCGAAGTAGAGGGAAATGCAGGTATTTAACTATCTTTCGCCATGCTGCTTTGTTCCCTTCCTCCATCTACAACACACACACAGGATAAGAGATGGCGCCACTAATTACACATGCTTAAACAGGCCTCATTTTAAGTAAACATATTATGCAGAGTCAATAGCAGCGTGCTCAGTCATGCTAATGAACAGAGAGATGGGACACAGCACTTCACTAAACTAACACTCTAACAGCTTTAAAGAGCAATATGGGTTGAAACAAACTATTTTAAATTAATTACGAGACTCTCATCTTCTTTGGCCAACTTCACGAAATTGGGGCCTTGTGTGTGCTCACACCGCACAGAGCTGACCTGTTTGTCGGCTGGGCCTGGGTTCACCTGTCCCTAGTGGAAGGGTCCAGGAAGGGTCATGTGACCCAGAGTGGACAGGCAACCTCAACCTACCTTCCGCTGGGGATGCTCAGACCCAACCTCAGACTGTCCAAGGGGAGGGAACCCATGGGCCGCAGTCCCAGGGGAGAGATCAGCTGGCCAGGATCACCCCAGGCAGGAAGACCATGGGCCCAGCAGGGACCCAGCCCTGGGCCTCCTCTCTTTACTGGTCCAACGAACCAAGAGGAAGACGCAGAACGGGAAGCCCCTGGTGACTCCATGGTGTGTCGATATAAAGACATTAGAATTCAATTAGTTGTCAATTAGTTGTCAAAAATGAACACCAATGCAAATTTTAAAATGCAGAAAAACACGGGGGAAAAGTGGGAAATTAATACAAAGCTACAAGGCAATTGCAGTTCTTCAGCAGGCAAGTCATACACGAATAAGCTAAGGCAGCGAGCAAACACTTGTGAAAATGTTCAGTCTTGCTAATAAATAATGAAGTGAAAATTAAATAAAATTAGGATAGTAAAACTAAATAAAAATTTTAAAACCCCTGCTGGCAAGCCTGTGGAAAACAGGTACAAGCCTGCATCATTAGTGGCACTATAAATTTGTATTTCTGGAAGTTAATCTGGCAAGAGAGAGTAATAAAGCTGATCTTCATGGAGCCCATCTTCTGAGCAAGGTCCTGTGCAGGGTGGGTAACTTCCTGAGTCAGAGAGGAATTAAGCATGGATCCTGCCCTCAAAGAAAGCGATATGTAGCAAAGACATAAAGAAAACATGTAAATGGCTACAACCAAACACAAAACAACATCACCAGGCAGGCGATGTTCCTGTTTCACAGATGGGATGCTGAGGTTGAGTGGGTGAAACCATCTGTGGGTGAAGCCATCTGTGGGGCATCATGGCTGTAAGTGGCACAGCCAGACTCCATGTCGGGCCAGTTTGGCCCCAGCACCCTTGTTCTTCCCAACATGCCAAGCTGTAGTTTGCTCTGACAGGTAAAGGTGGGAATTCAGAGGTGGAGTGGGGCCCTCCCCGCCACTGTAACTTGCATTGGCTTATTTCCCTTCCTTCTTTTAACACGAGTGTGCTTAACAGATGTGATGGGAGCAGTAAAGAGAGCAGACAGGACCCCTGAGCACCAAAGGCCCCTCAGCCTGCCCAAGGAGGCTGCGATGCAATTCCTAGTCTTCAGGTCCAGGTCGCACACCAGACTAAGTTCCTGGAGGGAAGGGACAGTATCTGATTCATCTTTACAGCCACAACCCTGCAGTTCCTACAGGAGACATTCATCAGTCTCAGCTGACAGTGGGGAGGAGAGAGAACTGGCTTCTAACTGTAGTGAGGGATCAGAGATGGCTTCATGGAGTGAGAACTTAAATTCACCCTGAAAGACCCTGGTGTGGACGTTCAGGGTTGGAGGAATAGATATTTCAGGCAGGGAAGACAACAGAGCAAATGTGTGGAGTCAGAAATGAAAGGATCAGGAAGATGGCAAGGTGCTGGGAGCTGGAAGTGGGGGAATTCCTGTGCAGAGGCAGGTCAAAGGTCCAGACTCCCAAACTCAGACACTTATCACAAGGGTATCATTCAAAACCTGTACCCAGGCTGATCTAAGGATTCCATACCACCCCAATCAAGATCCCTCCTGGCTTCTTGGCAACAACTGACTAACCCTAAATGTAGATGGAACTTCAGGGATACAGAAGAGCCATGATCTTGAAAAAGGACACGTGGGAAGTCTCAGATGCCCTGGTTTCAAGCTTGCCACAGAGCTACAGAAATTGAGACTGTGGATCTGACATAAGGAGAGACAGGAGATCACTGGAAGAGAACTTGGAGTCTAGAAACGAACCTTCATATCCACGTTCAACTGATTTTTGAGGACGGTGACAAGAGAACTCACTGGGGGAAAGAAGTCTTTTCAATAAGGGGTGCTGGGGCAGCCAGAGAGTCATATGCCAAAGCATATAGCCGGACCCCTATCTTAAGGCAAAATGGATCAAAGGCATGCCTGTAAGAGCTAAAACAATAAAACTCTTAGATGAAAACATAGGCACAAATCTTGGTAACCTTGGGTTAGACAAAAGTTTTTCAGATATGACACCAAAAACACAAACAAAGGGGAAAAAAAGATCAACAGAACTCCAGCAACATAGAAAACTTTTTAAAGAACACCATTAACAAGGTGAAAAGGAAATCCACAGAAGAGAGCCACTTGCTATTTTGTAGCAAGTTATGTGATTTTTCACATAACTGAGAAAGGACTTACAGCTAGAGTATATGCAAACATTTTTACAACTCAGTAATAAAAAGACAACCCAACCTAAAAATGGGAAAGGGGATCAGAACAGACATTTCTCCAGAGAAACAAATGACCGACAAGCACAGGAGAAGATGCTCAAGTGGTTAGCTATCAGGGAAATGCAGACTGAGAAAACCACAGTGAGACGCCACTTCGACCCACTAAGGCTGGAATCAGCGAGAATGACACAGCCAAGCGCTGGCCTGATGGGAGCAGTAAAGAGAGCAGACAGGGCCCCTGAACAGCATCCCTGCCTGATGGAGACGTCGGAACCCTCTCCCACAACTGGTGCTGATGTGAAATCATGCCACTCCCTTAAAAAACAGCCTGGTAGTTCTTCAAGAAGTTAAATATGGAGGTGCCACCTGACCCAGCCATTCCATGCTGAGGCAGACACCCATGGGCAGTACACTATCTGTGCACACACAGCTGACTGTCAGGGCAGCACTGTTCACAGGAGCCCCAGGGGAACCAATGACAGGTCCACCCACTGGATGGGGAAGCAAAATGCCCATTCTCCACAGAATGGAACATTACTTGGCGATGAAAAGGGGACGCATGTACTGGTACATGTTCCAACAAGGACCTATCATGAACACAGTGAGAGAAAAGAACCACAGAAGACCACATGTACTCTGATCTCACCGACACGGAGCACTGGCTCAGACAGGCTGCAAGGAAAGCACAGGACTGGCTGCCGAGGGCTGACAGGGTGGGCAGTGGGGCTTGAGGGGGAAAGGGAGAGTGACTGCTGATGGCATAGGGTTTCTTTTTAGGGGTGACGAACTGTTCTAAAATTGATGGTGGTCATGGTTGTGTAGCTGTGAATAGACTAAAAACCACTGAATTCTACACTTCAAATGGGTAAGCTGGATGGTGTGTGGATTACACCTCAATGCAGTTATTGCCAAGACACCCTACATGTAAATACAGGTGCTGAAACATGGCTTTTACAACAGGTGCTGGGTTAAGGCACGGCTGGAGTGAGACTGGACTCTGCACATGGAGTCTGCCCCAGCTCTGCACATGTCTCTGGATCAATCCCTCAACCCCTAAGATCTGGGCCTCGTTTTCCTCATACTTGAAATGGGTATAACAGGGCCTTCTGAAGATAAGTGAAATCAGCCCTGGAAAGCACTCACCCCGGCGCTGGTAAAGACGTGCCGTATTAACTATGGCTATCAGCAGCTAACACGTACGATGACAAACAAGTAGGAGCAGCCTGATGCCTAAAAGCGGGGAGAATATTAAGCAAAAAGTACGGCGCACTGCGGAGCCCCCTTTGCTTGTTACAACACCACTCTGTGTGGTCCTGCAGCCCGGGAGTCTGGCCTGTGCTAGGTGCGAGCCGGAAACAGCAAAGAGCAGCCGCCCGAGAGGGCCGAGCCCACAGCGCCGTGTGTCCTGAGGCAGGGCTCTCTGCTCTTGTTCACAGTGGCTGTGCCACCGCTGCAGGTGCCCTAAATCTAATAGGAAGAGAAACAAGTTCTATTCCATCATACGAGAGGCTTCCCAGCCCTGCAGTCACCTGTCACTTAGCAGTGTCTGGGTCAGCGCCAGAGCCCCCTGTGGGCTGGTTGCATAGACTCAGGTCTGTGGGCCTGGCCCTGTGGGCCATACCACCCAAGCCACCCACGCCACGCTTGCACAGCCAGGCCAGGCTGCCCAGCAGCCCATACCCTTGTGGTTTGGCAACACGTGATGGTCCAGGGTCCTGGAGATGCTCCCTCGATTTGAAAGTGCATCTCCGTGGCTTGGGGGTGCGCTGGAGTCACAGGGTGTGGTTGAATTCCAGTCCTGCACACTCTTATGTGCAGTCTTTTCAGTCCTGACTCTCCTGGCAGGCTCCAAGAGGCAAAAATGGGGTTCATCACACACTTGATCCCAGCGTCCATTTTTTTTCCCCCTTTAGCTTCTGGGTCTTGTGCCAAACTTGGCTTCAGCAACCCCTGAGCCTGGGCCACAGACAACTGTCGCAGGCGCCTGTCCCGTGAGCTGCAGCAGCAGGCAGATACCTGCTTGTATCAGGCAGGCCACCTGCGGGCAGATACCCACTTGTCCGCCGCCACCACCCAGAACACCGCACCGGGCAGCCAGGCTCACCCACAGGTGCACAGTAAAGCCTCCTACAACATTTCCAAGGAAACATGCACATAAACACCTCAACGTCCACCTGCAGGAAGGGCAGCCCCACTGCACGCAGCGGCACTAGAGGGCAACTCACGTGTGTCCACCGTCTCCTGAATCGGGATGAAGCCCACAGGCAGCGTGTCCTTGATGTCAATGAGCTTCATGTCCACTAACACGTTCCCTAAATGGCTCTTGGGAAGAGAGAAAAGAGACACAGACTATTAATCTGAATGTGCCTGTGGTGGGTTTGCCACATTGGCTTTAAGATGCATATTTAACACACAGATCCGTGCAGCTTCATGACAGCAGGTTAATTAGAGTGGTTAATTTTTCCCAGCGGTTACAGGGAGTTGGGCAGCCCCCAGGAAGGGGTTTCATCTGTGGAACCTCAAAACCACTCCCTCCATGTGGCCTGGCTTAGCAGGATGAGCCACCCGGGAGGCGCTGTGGTCACAACCCAGCAGGGGGCAGCTGTGACACAGCCAGGACCAGGCAGTGTCCACCCCAGGGAGCAGCAGGTTTTAGGCAGCGTGGAGTCCTGGGGCACTTGTGCTGGCGTGAGCGGCATCTCCACCCAGCAGAGAACCAGTCATACTCTAGAGTGATGCAGCCAACACGCACGTCGGGTGTGAGATGCCTTCGGTAAAGACCCAGCATCGCAAACTAATACAGAATGTAAAGCTCCGGCTCGGCATGACACATCCTCTGGGAGGACATGCACATGCACAGGGGCCTTCTAGTGACAGAATATGGGGTCTGCAGCATGCACTGTCTGTCACCAGTGCAAAAATACATTCTGCAGATGTCACCCCTGGTGTAGCTGTAAGGGTGACATCTGCAAACATGCTGGCACTTGGAGCCTGCACTTCAAGCTAGAGATGAGCCCTGCAGATATGTGCCCTATGATGTTAATACTGAGGGGCTACCTCTGCGATTGAGAGAACCCGTGACCCCCATCCCTCCAGTTACGGGAAGATTTATGGCTCCTGATCCCAAGCCCTGGGTCAGGGCACCAGCAACGGGTCTGCTTCCCAGACATGCTCCCTCTGCATTCCGCCCACCCCGTGGCCCTTGGCAGCAACCCCGAAGGCTGTCCTTTCTGTCTTGCTTGGAGAAGTGTTCACAGCTCCACCTGCGTGCCTGGGAGTCCCATCCTGCACAGTGCCAGCACTCGTAGAAAGCCATTCAGGGAATTCTCATCACCTAAACACTGTGCCTCCACCCTCCCAACACCCCACATCCTTCATATCCATTTATAATGGCAAATTTGCGAGGCTGTCTGTCTGAGATCTGTCTCCCCACTAGAGGTGAAGCCCCACGGGGCCCTGGGCGGTCTCCGTGACCGCTGTAAACCCAAGTCCAGCGTGGTCCTCGGCACAGGAGATGCTTGGTCATCATTTGCTGAATAAATGAAAGTTTCCTGGCCCACTTTCAACAGGGTGGGCCACTCTGAGTCAGACATGAACTTGCATTTGCTTGGGTGACAAAGCTAAACCATGTCAATGAAAATATTAAAAGTAGCTTTAATAAGTGCAGTCCAAACCAAAAGTGCACAAACTGCAAAAAATTCTTCAATTTCAACCAGGAGGGCTAGAGCGGCATGTGCCAACCAAGACTAGCGTTTCCATGGCTCTGTGTCCCAAAACCGCTTCCTCCGCGCAGCAATTTTGAGCAATGGTACTTCAGGTGGCTGGTCTCAGGGACACAGAGCCCCCAGCAGCGTGCACTTGGGGCCACCACCCACCCGGACTCACCTGCCCTGGCAGGCGGGGCCCGGCCATCACCCCAACCCCCGGATCGGCTGCTTCCAGAGGCCCCTGATCTAATCTATCATAATTGTTTTTCATGGCAGTTGCTTTTCCATGTCATCACCGCTCTCTGCATTGAGAAATTAACAACTGGGCATGTTTTCCCGCTCTGCAGATGGATGGGCATTCATCAATATCCTTCTCAAATGTCTCCTACTTGACAAGTGGTGTTTTACAGAAGTCAACCGCAAACCACTTAGCGACCTCACCCTCCACACTCCACAAATGTCCCTGATCATAAAACCAGAACATCACGGTGCGGCCATTAAAAAAGGCGCCAGAGAACCCTCCCGTGCATACAAAACGGGTCTGTGCTGCCGCGGCTGCCCGCAGTCCCGGGGTGCCCCTCCGCGCCCGCCGCGCCGCCCTGGCTCCACTTGGTGGATCTGCGACACCATTAATTTTGCTTGTTCCTCTCCCTTCCCCCATCCCGTGCTCTCTTTCATTTCCTCCTCATAAATATGAAGAACGTATTCCCAATCCTTGTTGAGCAAATGATTCATGCCAAAAGCCCAATATGCACTGACTCAGGGTATTTATATCGTCTCTGGTAGCCCGTATTTGCTAGTATACTGTAATTATTTTTGACAACCTTGCATTTAAGGTAGCCACAGATAACCAACTTAATATTCAAATGTTCATAAATCCTTCTGTTTAATATCCTCCCTACCTAATCTATGTACATTATTATTACAGGTAATGCAGAAAGTACAGGGCATGAAAAGTGCAATTAATCTCGATCCTTCCCCAGGAAGCAATGTCACTCCAAAGCCAGGCTTCTGTATTAATAAGCATTATTGGGGGAAAGGAATTTAGATTCCAAAGGAGTCTCCCAAAACTCCCACATTGGGAGCCTCCGGGCACCTAATTAAGAGCCTGTCCGGCTGTCCATCCCACGGCCCTCCCGCTCTGCTGGGTCTTGGCTCGGACAGCAGGGTCGGGGCGAGAGTGTCCTCACTACCACTCTGTTCCTGGAGAGTCAGCCCCTGGAACCCTCTAGAATGGGATCCCTCTGGCTCTCACTGTGGGGTCACTTGTTCTTCCTGAAAACAAAAGGCCCCATTTTCTATCCTGCTTCAGGAGAGAGGCCGAGGCTTCTCCACTCTCTGGCCTTCACCTTACCTCCCTTCCCGCCCCCCGCATGGAGAAAGATGCACGAAGCAGGCCCACAGTGACATCTGGCCAAGTCAATGCCTATTCCGTGACACACTTACCCAGGACACCCAGAGTCAACAAGCCCCAGGGACTCCTGTCACGTTTAGACTTGTCACTGTCCCCAGCCAGGGAACACAGGGACTCTTGTGGCCTAGGGCACCCACACCCCACAGTCTTGGTGGAGGGGGTGGGGAACGCAACAAAAACAGAAATCAAATGACTGAAGAGACTGTGGCTGTCCTCGGGGTCGGGAGGCGAAGGCTGAGTGGAAGCACAGAGTGGGGGCAGTTCGACCCCTGCCGGGGACTGACAGCCTCTGTGAACGCCTGGCCTGCTGAAGGTGGAGGTGGGGGCAGAACAGAGGTGACCAAAGCTAACAAGTGCAGGGACAGAGGGATAGGAGAGGGCAGGGGTGAGCCTGGGGAAGTGAGAGGGAAGATAGGGAGCATGAAGAACTACCCCAACTTCACCAGCCAGGTACTGGAAAGGCAACTGGCCTTCAGACCGGCTCCTGGTGTTTCCTCAACTACCTATGGGTCTGGCACCTGCCACGCTGGTCCCGGGCTCAGGGTCACCTTCCCGCCAGTAAGGATGAGACACCAGAGCTCTCCCTGCACCGCTGGAGGCTGCGCACACAACCAGCACGAGTTGCTCTCTCCTCCTGGGGGAAGCTGAGGGGCAGTGGCGTTCCACCAGCCGAGGGGCACTTTTCCTAGCAAAGACGGACCAAGGAGCCACAGGCACAGCTGGTAGAGGAGGGTGCAGCCAGGGGACCCCATGACTGACGAGGTTCAGGACCCAGAGAGAGGCCCAGGGCCGGGGGTGGGTGGGCTGCAGACAAAGGGCGCCCCCGCTCCTTCTCCTCACTTCTGAATGAGGACATCCGAAACTGTTCTCTTTAAAGCATGATCACGTATCACTGCTATAAGAAGACATATAAATTAATAAGGGTATTTCCAAAAATAAGTATTTGTATCTGAAGTAACATCTAGTCCAAAATATAAACTGTCACCACTAAAAGTGGGCAGGCTGGGGCTGGGGAAGGGTGGGGGGAGGCCTTGGACCAGCACAGAAACTCTGACTCGGTCTCTTCGCCTCTGGAGGGGCAAGAATGCTTCCAGAGACTGGCCAGGCCTCACGCTGAGTGGACACTGCTGACAGCTGTTCCCTTTTTTCCTAAGCCTCCCGTTCAGACATTTTGTGGGAAAAGCCCTAGTAAATTTCCGAATTTATGGGCCCAGGGGCTAAAAACAGTGTCATGCGCACTCGGGGACGAGTCGTCTGTAAAAACAAGGGCACGGCAGCCATCACGTGGGGGCAGGGGGGAAGCCCCCGGGAAGGAGGCCGCCTATGGGAAGGGCTGGTGGTGAGTTGTCCTTGGCCACACTGCACGGATGGGCCAGCGGGGCCTCTGGTTCCACTAACTCACACCTCAGCACCCCGGAGGAGAGGAAGGTGAAGGAGCACCGAGAGCAACATTTCCTGGTTTCCTTTCGAGGACACATTTTGACGGAGCTCGCTGGACACCGGCGTGCAGGCTACCAGTGCTGTTAACCGTTGGAACAGCGCTGGCTGCCACTCCCGCCCCAGACCTGCAAGCACAGATGAACTTCCCTGGCGCTGAAAATAAACACAACCCAAACCAGGAGACTTCAGACACGAATGTGAGTGGCTTGTGCTCACTCAGCACACGGGAGCGCCACTACTCGACTTACATTTTCTTTGGAAAATGATCTCGTGAAACACAGGTATCTGGTAACCTTGGATTTAAACAAGCCGTCTTTCCAGAGGTCAGCATCCACACCATCTGCCGTCTGTGCCACCTGCACCGGGGAGACAGAAAGGAGCGGTGAGGCGGGCTGGGCCGCAGGGGTGTGCGAGCAGCATCTTCATACCTGTGCCAATTAACACGGGCCGAACCCTCGTGGCACCTCATTAGTTCATTTCAGAGGTACCAGGAAGAGAATTCCAAAAGGGGAAAAGGGAGAGTGTGAAAAATACAACTTCTAAAAATACGGTCCCCGGGGAAGCCATTGATTAAAGACACCCTGACAAAAGTGGTTCTAATGAGAAAAGAGCAACTTTTGTTGTAATGGACCAAGAAAGGACTGGATAAGTCAGCACATTAGGCTGCTCATTACGGCTGGCTCGGGGGACAGTGTGGGGTGCAGGAAGGGATGTGAAACGCCCCCGGAGGGGCACCACCCGCTGTGAGGTGCAGGGCCTCAGGCCCAGGGCAGCCGGTACCTTGGTGGATGGGGCTCTGCTGGGGGAGGGGGGTCAGGCAGACTCACTCCACACCCTGCCTTCTTGGTATGAACTGAGTTGTATGCAAGGTCAGAAACTACATCACGATAGAAAATTTTGTTTTAAAAGATTCAGCTCCTGTTTTTGGTCTCACCAGGAGGCCATTTTCTCACGTACAGTTTAGAGAGTGTCCTGGGGAAGAGATGAGGAGACGCCAGCCCTGGTGGAGACTCAGAGGGCCGGGGCATGCCATGGGGCATTCCATGGGGCAGGCCGCGCTTTGTGGGGCAGTTTAGAGCTAGCAGGAGAGGACGGGGAAGGCCAGGCGGCCAAGGACCGGGCTCCTCCCATAGCCTTCTGGGCTGTTCTGTTAATGGGCTGGGGTCTTGGGCTGCGTTCTCGCCACAACCCCAGGCACCTATGATTCCCCACCTCAGGGTGAGAGCAGGAGCAGCCATCCCCTGTGGGCAGCGCTGAGGGGCCGTCCAGGGACCGAGGGAGCAGGACCCTGTCTTGGATATGGCAAAGTCTTCAAATAGTCTGCTCCCCAAAGGTTTCCCAAAGGCTCCCCAAAGGTTGACTTTTCGAGGTTCCAACATGGGGATATCCTTCATCTGCCAAGCTGCCCATTGTTGTGGCAATCTGCTGAGAGGACCCCCACTCTTCCCACGGAAACCGCCCTGGATCTGCCCAACCCTCACACACTCTGGGGGCCTCAGCCTCGAGCCACTGAGCCACCGGTGGGGCCTCCAGGATGCCCCTGAGAGCCCCGTCCCAGCCTCCCCCCTGCTGAAGAGAATGCTTTTTTGTTAAGACCAAACAATCCTAAATACAACAAAGAGAAAAGAAAGGCCTTGCACGTAGGCAGAGATGTGTGCGGGAAGGCCAGCGTGCGGCCCCGGAGCTGTGCTCTCTGCTCGGAAGCAAAGGCCGCGCCTCTCCGTGTCTCCCCACCGCCGCCCCTCCAGTTCCTGCCAGTGCTGCACCACCGTCCTGTTTCCTCCCTGTGGGTCTCATGGGTGCCTCCCAAACTGTACCTCCCTAGTATTTCCTCAAATCTTAGATATAGTCGTTTGGGAATCACCCATGGATTTAAAGGACACCCCTTCGGGGGGAAAAAGCGCCTAATTGAAATGGACACATCTATTTTAAGATGCATCCCCATTTCGGAACCACTAAAATATAAAAAAAGAGATGCTACAGGAACAAAGACGCAAGGGCGCCTACATGGCTTCTCAATAATAAATGCATTGTTTTTAATAAACTTAAGAAACAAAGACAGTCTGCAAACACTGGGAGGCTGTGGGACCTCAGGCTGGGTCCTCAGGGGGAAGCAGGGGAGTCCAGCAGGGCTTTCCCAAGCTCTGAGAAATGCCGCCGGGGGTGGGGGACACCCTAAATCAAAGAATGCTCATGTCCAGTGTTGGAAAATGATGATGCCTATACCCCAGGCTAGAGTTCCTTAGCCGAGGGAGCCACAGTTGGGGAAGTGCTATGTTCCTCGCCCCCTCCACTAGAGGAGGCGCAGCCGAGCGGCCAGGTGAGCTATATTACAGGTGAGCGAGGGGTTGCCTCTAGATCCTGCCACCCCTGGAAGTGCTGGGAAGGCGAGTAGGAAGGAGCCATGTGGAGGCCACACAGGTAGAAACACGAGGGGCAGCGATGTGGGTGAGGGTGCGTGGGGAGGTTGACATGGCAGAGCTTAGCGCGATGTGGTCTTTCCTTTGCCCCAGCTTCCTGGGACCTGCTTCAGGACCCCTGTCCCGCGGTTCCCCGCCTGAAGGTGTCTTAGACTTGTGGCAAGCTTCTGGGCATCAGCGGCTCTGCTTTGGGACAAGGCTGTGTGGCTGGGCACTTGCCCACGAGAGGATGGGTATAATTTGGGGTGTTTTAACGGGAAAACTCTTACTAGGAATTTTCTTCTCTCCCCCTTTAATCCCATTAAAGATCTCTCCCACGGCACGAGTCTGCTTTGCCTTCGTGCACACGGATGGCAGGATCCCTTTGGGGCGTGCAGGTTTGGGGGTCCCAGAGCGCCCCTTGGTCGCACACTCATAAAACCTTGATGTGCTAAGTGGCCAGTCTAGGACTGTAAAGAGGAAAAGCCTACAGTGGGGGCCTGCCCCTTCCTCGGGGATCCCCTTCTCTGTCCTGGCAGCCAACAGTCCTCCACCCCTGGGATGAGAGACCTCTGAAAACAGAGTAGGAGGCCCTGCTGGTCCCGAGGCCACAGCGCCCGGGCAAGTGTGGGAAGCACCAGTAGAGAGGCTGCCCTGGGGAGGCTGGCGGGAGGAGGGAGAGAGACAGAGAGTGCGGTCAGGAAGCTGACCTTCCCAGGGAGAGGACCCCGCTGGCCGGACGCTGCCTCTCCCCTTACTTACCCGGGGCTCCTGCAACCCCGGGCACAATGAGAGCTTCCAGGAGCAATGAGTGAACCAGCTGTTCAAGCAGACGGTGTGAAAAAACCACCCTCCCTACCAGCTACCCGGGCAAGGTAGTAAGATGTTTTGAAAATGAAACTGCGGGGATTTAATTTCTTCAACTGAGTGTGTTCCCTTCAAAATCACCACTGTCTGCCGCCTCACCCCATCCCCGTCGCGAGACCACAGGCTCTTTGGGTTATTCCTGCTCGCAGCCTTGTCTGACTGCACCGCCTCCTAGTGCCTGTCACAGGGCGACACACACTCACATGCACACCACACACAACACCAATGAGAAAAAGAAATAATCCAAAAGAAAAATAATATACACTCTGTGGACGCCGTGTGAGGAGACAGTCAGCCTCTCTGGGACAGGCAAATTAGAAATGACTAGGATTTACCTCTCAGGGCAAACCGCTGCCCGAACTGTGTGTAGCTGAGGAGGACACCATTTATATAAAGTTTGAAAACAGGAAGGCAGGTGTGGCTGGCCTCCAGGAGGGCGACTGTGCCCAGCAGGCCCCAGAACTGTTCCCAAGGAGACCCTTAGTGCAGTGGCAGAGGACGCTGTTTGCAATACCATGCATCACAGAACACTGTCGGAAACAGCCCGACCCCCATCAGCAGAAGCATGAACATATCCTAGAATATTCGCGCAACAGAATTCTAGGCAGCCTGGAAGTACACGGCTGGCACTGCAAGTACCAGCCAGGGCGACTCTCACAACAGCGCCAAGCAAGTAGAAACCGCGGTCACCAGGACATATATTCCAGGTGATATCATTTATATAAAGTTTGAAAACAGGAAAGAATATACAGGGGTGATAAACACTCTGGGGGTTCCTCCAGGTAAGAGCGGATGTGGGGGCCTGGAAGGTGCCATAGGGCCCTATAATATTTTTTTTTTTATTAAAAAAAAATCTCAGATGAAGCGGGTGAAGCATTAAGGCCTGGGAAAACAACACGGTGGTCACGTAGGCCTTTATTACATTATTCTCCATACTTTTCCATGTATAGGAGATGCTTTGCCATATAGTTTTTTATTTTTATTTATTTTTTTTTTTTCATATAGTTTTTTAATTTAAAAAAATGAGATAACAGAGACCTTACAAAGATGAACGGGGCCTTCAAATACTCACAGATGTATACATAGAGGAAGGCTGCCTGTGGAAGCACAGGACACTCAGTTAAATTTGACCTTCAGATAAACCAATCGATGATTTTTTCAAACCTAAAATGCAATCACCAGATTTTCTGCTTAAACTGGGTGTAGCCTGTGTTCTTATTTGGCGACTCTGGCAAACCAAATAAGGAGGCGTGTCACAGGCTCTGTTTTGGGCAAAGTTGAGAAAAGGCCCTAAGCTGAGCCCCAGGCCAGCGCTGTTCCGAGACCCCTATGGAAGCATCTCTCAGTAAAAATAAAGCAGGAGCTCACTCGTGATGTAATTCATATGAAAAACAAATTACAATGCTATGTTTCTGCAAGTCATTTATATATACAAACGCGGTAGAAAAAGTTCGGAAGGAAAAACATTTGTAACAGTGGCGAACAGAAAGAGGGCCATGGTCAAGAGACACTTGAGCTTCAGCTGTATCATTTGATTTTTTAAAATGAGACCTTTGAATTCCTAATTTAATTTAAATAAATTCCAATTATTTTTTTTTTTTTTGCAAAAAGGCAAACAAAATAGGAAGATATATCCAAACTGTTAATAATAGGTGCAGGATTAGAGGAAAGAAAAGGTAATATTTTCACTCTGTAGTTTGTATAATTCTATATGATTTGGATTTTCTGAAATGAGCTTTTATAATTTTTTAAATGTCATGAAGATATTTTTAATTAAAAACAAAGGCAGACTCATTGTTCCTCTCTCTGCTACAGGATCTGAGAGTAGGAATTTCATTATCAAGAACGTGTCTGTTGAACAGAAAAGAAAAGGGAAGCAAAGTCGCTGCCTAGTGCTAACTCCAGAAGGCCACTGTCTCTGTCCCTGCTTGCAGGACACACTGTTCCAACATTCTGGGATAACCACCTGTCCACCTATACTTACTATCCTGGGCCAGGGAAGCAAGTAAATGCAGTGGCTTAAAACAAGGGCTTCGGTAATGGACAGATGTCCACTTCGGAGCTCTGTGAGCTTGGCTGAGTTCCTCAGT